GACTGCCAGCACTAGGAAAAAAAGGGCCAAATAACACATTTGCTAACACATATAAAACACATTTCATCAACGTTCTGCACACTAAGAACACAAAAATAACACAAACCCGTAAACTTTGTACACGTTTGAGCACGTGTTATTTGGCCCTTTTTTTCCTAGTGCAGTACACTGGGCATTCCTCCATGAGGGGGGCAACCGGGTTTGTGAGCTGGCGCTGCTGTGACTATATAGCGTCCATATATGGACATGTGATTGTACCAAACTGCCGTGATTCGTGAGCACGATTGGCGGCGCGTCAGCTATTGCTGGGCTGGTGTGACAGCTCAATTTCGTGACACAAAATGTGGCCGTCCGACATGGCAGCCATCCGGGCGAAAATCCACAAAGCGCCAAGTCTTCGCCTGCCCTGCCTTCCGGCTCGATTGGATTTGCGTCGAAGGAGACGAAGCAGGGGTTCTGCAGCTCCCTCACGAACACATCTCCAGCGATTCCGTCACGAGAAAACCGACTTAAACGGGCTTCCAGGCCTTGCACATCCAGGCTCGCGCAGGTATCCGAGACCTGGGTGACAAACACGAGGAAAGCCTCTTCGAATCTCAGTGAATCGCTTGGAAACTTATGCGCTCGAACGCTGAGATTTCAATGGGCGCGCTCTGCCGAAATTCGAGCGGAAGAGACCTCAAACTCTTGGCCGCGAAGGCATTCTGGTCGGGCTGCACGCCGCGGCCTGTGTGCATGGGTCGCACACGAGGATAATCCAAACAGAGTGTTTACAACTTCACGGACTATGGTCCGTTCCGTTCAGCCCCTCCAGACACTAGGCACAGCAGCATGCAGCCCGCACGCAGCAAGGCAGCCACGCCCAAAATACCCTAGCCACGCCAGAAAGGGCAGTAGAATCAAATATTACACAATTTCTGTCAGGTCACTTCCAAACATAGCAGTTCGCATTTTCTCACTTCCCTTGAGGCTCATACTCTATTATTCGTATCAGAATGGAGCATGCATCCGCAAACCTCACAACATGCTCTTCTGATCCTCACATATCACCCTTGCAACGCTCAGGTGGCCATCGCTCCTTCACTCATTCATCACCTTTCCGGCACACGCGCAGCACAAAAATCGAATCTGTGCCGCGACCTGAAAGATTCGCAGGAATTTTCGCTCACACATACGGCTCTACCAGCCCTTTTCCCGCACTAAAATGCGCAGCTCATAAACGATGCTGTGAAGTCACATCCACGCAACAAATCAGCCCAGTGATACTTCTTGTTTGAATTCAAGGACTGACGCACTCACCCAGTGCATCAGCAACAAAAGTATATATGTTTTCATGACCAAATTCATGACCAGGTTCTTGATTTTTATTTGCGTAACAGGTTGCATCCCTATTTGGTTGTCACACCTCACAGAACCACGTAAAACACATCTACCTGAGGCAGAAGATTCGAAAAGCGATGCGATCATACCTCGCTCTAGTCTGCCCTGAATCAGCTGTGCATTGATCAGCATGAAAATCCACGTCAGCTTGGCGTTCTGGTGCACGGCAATCACTGAGAAGTCAAACATATTTCCATCAGGGATCTTGAGAGTTCCTCGGTCACTGAAGACAGCACGACAGAACTTTGATTCTTCAGTGCCTTCAGCGCAGGCTTGCAGCAATTTCCACAAGTGTCCAGTCGCACAACGACATTAATCACATAGATTGACCGTCATCTTGTTTGGAACTTGGCAGCATAGTCATCAAATCTCACAGATTTCCTTGCATATGCTGTAGATTGTTGTGGCTCGCATGCGTATCAGCATATCTCTTGGGTCAGTTTCAGTTGACTATCTTCTCTGAAAAGCCTTAGCCGTTGCTGGCAAAGTCTTCCCGTCTGAGAAGGCGTTTGGGACGTGCAATCTCACGCTTGCAGCGTCCCACTGGACACCCATACTGGCTGCCCTGTCTGCCACTGTGAGTAATCCGGTGGCGGTACATCATCTGGCCCCGCGAAGCCCGTCACCGGTCCCCGAGAGACCGTTGCTGCGTTGCGCCTCCACCAGCGCTGGCGCCTCTCGCCGTTTGCGCGTTCCGCAAGCCACAATCCCGTACAATCTTCGAGGCCTCCACCCGGCCAGTGGATCCGTCGGCGAAGATTCGGCACACGCGTCCCAGCCAGAGCCGGTCCCACCGATTGCCATCGGTGCTCGCAGGCCCTTGATCCCAATCGCCGGTGCAAGCCAATCGACGCGCATTGCTGTGGCCGATCGGTGCAGATCCATCCTTCGGCAGTGCTGCTTTGTCGGACGCAATTTTCGAGTGAGGGCGTAACTTCGTCAGTCAAGCGAGTGCGCCTAGAGGAGTGGCACGCAGAGCCCAGTGCGTCACGTCATTTCCTGGGATACAGGACCTCCGCGGCGTAGAATCGGGTGCACATCGAGATATTCATACGTCTCCCCGCATTGTCGTCTCCGTATTCTCCTTTTATGCTGGAGTTCGTCCCTTTGGAGGAAACTAAGCCATTTTTATGCTTTTGTGGATTTTCGCCACTTCCTAGCCACCTTTTCTCAGCTCGGCTCAAGGTTCGCCAGCTTGGCACAAAGTTCACATCATACATTGGCGACCCGAACAGTGATGGGGTACTTGGGCAGAAACCAGTTTTCAGGCCGACGACAACCAGCGTATCTGAATACACCCCGAGTCTATTCGGGGCTTGTTTTGGTTGCATGTAAGCCCAGCTGAGTCCCAACATTTGGTCGGACGGAGCCCGTTGAAGTGCGTTTGAGCGCCGCATGTGTCAAGTTTGGCATATTTCCTCTCTCACAGGTCGAACAGCACAAGGCGTTCCCAGTTTGCTGCAAGCCGGTGAACCGCAATGATTGGAAGTGTTTTGACTCACACCATGTTGAATGCAGTGACTGATTGCATGCAACAATGGCTGACGTCCTGTCGCACTGTGTGAGGAGATCAACCTTGGTCTTGTCAAATGTGATCCTTTTCGAAACCGCTTGGACTTGGGAGTTTGACTGTTGCGAACGGGGCCATTCAATTAGAAGAGGACCTCAAGTGTACAAAAGGGACCTGCACATCATGATCATCGGATGGTGCGTTCAGCCAACACTGACATAAGGCAGCCAAGAACCAGCCAAACGCGCGTGCGGAGGGGCTGTTTAGCACAGCATGAATGCCGTGCTAGTCACATCCACCTCTGCGTTGATCGTGGTGCAATTTCGTCATCTCTTAGCGTCGTTGGACCTCTCCTCCGTTGGCGATGCACTGAGCGCTAAGCTTTGTATGGTAAGCTAACTTCAAGAAACGCGTCTTTACATACGCAGCACCAATGTTTACTCCAAGCACGGTACATGCCAGCTTTGCACAAAACGTTCCTCTGCTTTGGGCTGGCATCGGAGGCCGGGACGCCGCCCCATTACCGTCAATCGTTCGTGACACGGGAGTAAGGCCCATCACATTGCCCCTTACAGGGCGAGAGACACAGCCGTCAACTCGCAGCTCCATTACCGCTGCGTCACCTAACGGCCTGCCACCCGTACTTCGAGGCAGACTCGCTGTAGGCGCCCCTTCACGTGCCCCCGACGCCCCGCCGCCATTGGCTGGACTGTTGTAGCAAGACATGGCTCACAGGGCGCACCACCCTTACGCGTCGCCCACGTGCTCCGGGTCACACCCGAGCTGCATGCCTATTGGCCCGCCTGTTGTAGCAAGACATGGCTCCCAAGGCGCCAGCGGGCTTCGCCACGCGCTGGGTCCTCGGTGCGGGCATAAATACGCGGTCCGAGGCGTTGAGGGCGTGCACAGCTCCACGCCTAGTGCAGCCATGAAGCTTCTCTGGAGCCCCAGCTTTCTGGGCGGCGCCGCCAGGCCGGTCGCGCACAGGCGGGTGGCGACCGCCGCGTTTGGCGGCCGGGCGGGAAGGCGACTAGCGGCGAGGGCGACGGCATCACAAGCCCAGGTGGGTTTGGGTGATGGGAGGGAGCCTCCTTCAACGAGGAGACTTGGGGTTGAGCTTGATGGGGTGTTGGATTATGGAAGCTTACCTGCTGCGCAATGGGTGGGCATGCAGTAGTGGAGGGTTGATGGCGCGCTGCGTCGATGGAGGGAAAGGGCGTGGAGGAAGGGCACGACCCGTCGACAGAAAGATTATGGCTATCTCGACTCGGTGCGGCGCGACATGGGAGCGGGGAGTGGCGATCGGTGCCGTGTATTTCCTTCCGGTTAAGTCGCGCCCATGGGCGACGAACTGTGGATTCCGTGGGGGCCATTCTTGGGCAAAGCATCGGGGCTCGCGGCATCGACGCAGTTGTCATCGACACGAACCGACAGCGCGAAAGCGTCGGGTGCTTTGCGCGAAGCGGCGAACCGCGGAGAGCGTTGCGCAGCTGGACGTCAAACTTCGTCCACGGCCCGATCATCCGTCTTAAGTCGGCGCTGCCGGGCGACCAGCCCCCTTAATTCGTTCATACGCACCCAGCGCCGGCGTTTGTATGTACGCATCCATGCCTGCGTCGCAAGCCGACAGGCTGCTGCCCTGCTGTGCCGTCCACAATCTACCGCGCCATGTGCGCCGAGTGGTGACGTCGTACGTTGTAGGCACAACTGCGGACGAGCGCATGGTAATTGTGCAAGTGGTGGCTTTGAAGCTGCTGACTTTCGTGCTGGGGCTCGTGCTATGGCACCACAAACTCCAGTGGCAGCGCCTGTTGTAGCGTACAGTGGAGTACCTGCCTGGCAAGACCTGGAACATCTCGTGATGGGCTCTCGACGCCTCGTGTCGGTCGATGCCACGCTGTCACGTGCCTTTGACAATAAAAATTTCACTGACGTTGCGCCTGTGCTTGAGACGTGTGATATCGCTGTAAATCTGTATTGTCGCTGTGCCAGCCATGAAAACGGGACCACTCGTGTCAGCACAGATCTCTGTCCGAAAACACTTCTCACCAGCGTTCCTCTAGCTTATCTGTTCCCGTCATCCTTGCACCTGCAGAGAATCACGACGCCAATGCGACGAACAGCAGTTGCCCCCCCGCACCCCCCACACCCCACCCCTCTACCAAGCCTTTTCCTGGCTGCACAGGCAGGTCGATGCGGAACTCATGTGGTGAGGGACTCCAAGGTACCCTTTTCATCGCTCACTGGCATAAAACTGACCATTGCATACGCTTCGAATTGTGTTGAAACCGTGGTCAAATGTTGTACGGCGTGCCTTGTCACTGTACAGCCTCTTAAGATCCTCTTAAGATAGGACTAAATCTCATAATGCTGGCCTTGTTCTGTCGCCAGGAGTCATTCACGTGTCGTCTGTGTTCGCAGGAGAGCGCTGTCACTAGCGCAGCGCCCGACACTCTGTACAAGCGGCTGGGCGGCGAGGCCCACCTGCAGGGCGTCATCAACAGCTTCTACCGGAAGGCGTACGCTGACGAAAGGCTCAACCACTGGTTTGAAGGGTACCCGCCCGCCAGGATGGAGGCAAAGATGGCGAGGTTCTTCAAGTTCTGCTTCGGGGAGGTGCCCACGTATAAGGGGCGGGACATGGGGACCGCCCATGCGAGTCTGGTGCAGCGCGGCCTGAACGACGGTGATTACGACGTCCTGGTGGAGCTGTTCACGGCTGCTTTCAGGGTAAGCAGGGATGCTGTGCGATAGATCTTTACTCTGTGGAGGTCAATCAACAGGGAATTAGCTTGTGGCGAAGCAATCTTGGAAAACCACCGGCTCCTTGTAATGCCCCACAGTGATGCGCAGTGGTAAGGTGAAGGACCGTTCGAGAGCATGAGTTTCGTGGTCGACCATAGAAAAAAATGGAGATATGTTTCATTCTCTCTTGCTTTCATAATGTCGAAATGCTAGTATTTAGAAAGCCTATAGCAACGTTGTTGTACGCATTCACCTTTGAGGCTGTGAGTGTGGACAATCTGAAACACTCGCTGATCTACACTTTGCAATTTCAGTGTCGCTGGCCAGCTGTTGCTGAAAAACTGGCAGTCTACATGAATAACGCACTGTGTCAATTGGTCGCAACTGGGATAACAAATCCCCCTGCCCATAGCAAATACATTGGGGAATTGTTCAATATTTGGCCATTTTGTGTTGCTTTTGGTGCAGGAGTCTGGCGTTTCTGATGATCTGACGAACGAAGTTGTTACAATTCTGGAGTCGGTGAGAGACCCTGTGCTATGCCGAGATGGCCACGATATACCAACATAGAGCCGCCACATTGCCTGGGCTACTAGCAAGCAAAAGTGAGCACGTGGGCTTTGGAGATTGTGGGAGCGTGTGCTATTCAATTGGTTGGACCATTGAAGGTAGTTGCCCATGAACGCAGAGTCCTGGATGATCTTCGTACAACACTTCTCTCTGACTTAATGCAGCACGGGTTGAGAATTGCAGGAGTCATTTGATGAGTTCAGAAGGCTATAACCTGGCAAGGCTCATTGGCAGCTGCGCACAACACAATGTGCGGCGTGCCTAAAATTCTGGCGGTGAGAAGATAGATGGATTGTGCAGTTGCACATATGTACCGGATCATCATACTGCAACTGTAATGTTTCATCACGCGGACGAGATGTGTGGCTGCCCATCGACATAGGACCGTTGCCAACGGTCCGTTGGAGAATGGATATGGGTGCCGCAGACTTGCCTACAGCCACCACACTGCTGCCTTTGACGCACACACTGACTGCAGATCGAGATCGCCTGCGTTTGATGGGATATCTCTGACAGCCCACTAGCCGGATACACCGATTGGGGGCGATTGCTTCCACAACCGTCAAAGATGGTACTCCGACATGCGGTGCTACTCAGATGACCGACTAGCGCCGCCGGTGCAATAGCACCCACCGCCAACGATGCTCTAAAGATGCTGAAAGGAACAATCCCCCAAATAGGGGGTCGAGCACCACTCAAGGGGCAACAGCACGGGTCAGTGACTCCGCTGCGGGCAGCCAGGTCCCAGGAAGGTAGTGCATTATGTGGCGATGCCGGTGAAGACCTGTCAACGTCGCGATCCTGCCGGAGTCACGACCGAAGCCGTTGTTGGTACCGCACCATCACTGCCGTGTCCGCCACGCGGCCTCCGGCGTTCTTCCCCAGCCATCATGTCACGTTCGTGCAGTCGTCGTCATGCCCACTCCCCACCGCATGATTGGCGGGACCCTTTGCGGCAACGCACGTGGGGAAGCGTACCTCGATTGGCACCGCATTACTGCCGCGTCTCTGGACGACTCGCCGGCCCCGCTGCCCAACAACGATGTCGAGTTGCCCCTCCGTGTGACCACGTCACCCTGACGGCCGCCGCGATTGGCTGGCCTGTTGTAGCAAGCCATGGCTCGCAGAGCGCCACCTGCCTCTGGCCCCCCGCGCGCGGCCCCCTCCCCGCCGTGCATATATACGCGCAGGCGGCGCCCGCAGCCGCGCAGCGCAAGAAGACCATGGCCGTAGCGAAGGGCGTGTGCAGTCCATGCGTGGTGGGCGTGTCGGCCAGGCCGGGTCCCCCCAGGCGGGCGGGGAGGCTGGCAGACGGCAGGATGGCCGGAAGGCGACTGGCGGCCAGGGCGGCGGCGCCACAGGAGGAGGTGGGTTTGGGGAATTGACCCAAGAGGGAGGGGGGGGGGAGAGGCGATCCCCAATGCCTGGCCCATGGAAAGATGAGAAAAGGGTGCGGTAAAGTTAGGATGATCAGCGCCAAGCCGCCGGCGAACTGATGTTATGAATCGCGGATTTGCGAGGGTGACATCAGGAGGGGGGGGCGCGGCTGCGGCGTCGGTCCGTCACTCTGGGAGGGGGCGGTTTCCCTTACTCTGTTCCTGTGCCGCTCGCGTGGGAAGGTTCAGGTTCCGGGGGGGATGCCGGAAAGGCGCCAGGCTGGCCGGTGCGGTGGCCCAGGCGGCGGCAGATCTCGCGGCTCGGCCTGAGGGGGAAGCAATTGAGGCTCCTGAGGTTGTGGCGGGCCGCTGAAGGGGTTCGACTGGGTTCTTCGGGAGGGGTTCGAGGTCGAGAGTGGGGCACACCTGCCGGACAGCTGTATCTACGGTCGGCTCGCCCAGGCCAGTTGCTATCCTGACCCTTTCGGGCTTATGTGGCGGGGCTTAGTAAGAGTGACGGGCCTGGGCCGAGCGGGCCCAGCAAGCGCGACCAGCGGCCAGCCAGCCCTGTTGCGTTTTTGCTTTGCTGTGTCTCGCTTGCAAAGGACGATTCCGTCGACGCGCGCGTGCCACGGCGCTGGCGCACTTCTGCCCGCTCGGCACCGCCGGATCGCGCTTTTGGACGTCCACAACCATGGTCAAACCATGGTGGACCTCACGTGCAGTTTGGAAGAACACATGGCCGTACTGTTGATGCTGTGGTCCTCTGGACAGGAACCAGCCCTCGATGCCCCATTGTGCTACGTATGGAGCCTGCCTGCTAAGCTCTGTATGAACTGTGCACGCCGCCTTTTGTGTGCTGCCGTGATTGCCATCGCACACGTCCCTTGCAAGGCAATTGCCGTTGCCACACCGGTTTCCTGCACTTTTGCAAGAAAGCCGCCCGACGGAAAGGCCATCCGCCACGCCATCCGCCGCACTCTCGTCAACTCACCTCCTCAGTTGCCTGCCACAATTGATCGTGCGCAGAACGTTTCTGTGCGGTCGTCTGCGCCTGAGCGCCGTCTGTGCCTTCCGTGGTTCCAGGGCACCGCCGCGACGGCGACCGAGAAAGCGCCCGAGACTCTTTACAGGCGCCTGGGCGGCGAGGCCCACCTGCAGGGCGTCATCGAAAGCTTCTACCGGAAGGTGTACGCGGACGGCAGGCTCAGCCACTGGTTTGAAGGATTCGCGGCCTCCAAGATGGAGGGACAGATGGGGAGGTTCTTCAAGTTCTGCTTCGGGGAGGTGCCGACCTACGACGGGCGGGACCTGACGACCGCCCACGCCGGTTTGGTGCGGGGTGGCCTGAATGACGGGGACTACGACGTCCTGGTGGAGCTGTTTACGGCCGCCTTTGTGGTATGCTGTCGAAATTACATGAATTACATTTGTCATAGAGCGAATGCATGGAGACATAGCGGTGTCATAGCGGTAGTTTCGAACTTAGCGGTGCTGGTTGGTTTTCTCCGACACATCAAGAAAGCGTGGGACGGACAGGAAGGGGGCACCCCTTGGGGATTCCGTGAGTAGGCCCTGGGTTCGCAGGCATCTTTTTCATTGCATGTTTTTCATTCGGTTTCTTCCTTTCATTTCATCTCATATGGTGGCTCTCACTAGGATTTTAGTAGGGACGGACCAAGGTTTGGGTATTATGTCGTCACAAAAGGAGAAATTGGATTCTTTTCAGATGCAAAACAGGGCAAGGTGATGCAAGGCTTCTTTTAAAGCAGTTGACAGCTTGTAGGCACATACGGTACTGTGTATTCACTGGAATTGTTGACTGGACCGCTTTCTACAGAAGTCAAAGTTGCCAGCTCGCTTAAAAAGGGTCGTTTCCCTGCAGTGGAGCAGCGAGGCTGGTAAATACCTTGCGCTGCTTTGCTGTTGTCCCAGTGCTTGTATCTTTGCACATATACTGCTACTGTTCAAACAACCATGGTGTGTGCGGTCGAAACTGGCAGCACTTTGATGACGATTTGGTCACTTTGCGTGAACTGCTGTGATCAACAGGAATCCGGTGTGTCTGAGGACTTGGTGGCTGAAGTTGGTGCCATTGTGGAGTCGGCGAGGGACCCTGTGCTGGGCCGCAAACCTGAAGACAAACCCTAGGGAAATGGCAACTGAAGCAGGTGTGGAAGTGCTAGGACTTGTGGTGAATTGGTGCTGCCGCTGGCTCTATGGACGTTCTTTGAGCAACCCCAGTTTCACCGCCAAAGCGAGGCAGAAACGGACGAGGCGATGAAGGAGCATGCCACTGCAGGTTGCCACTGTAGCGGAATGCAAACTTCCAATTGGGGTTCGAATTTTGCTTCGTTGTTCTGTTGTACAGGCAGTTGGACTTTGGCAATAACTATGATGCTTTGATGGGAAGGTTGGCGAAGTGATTGGTGGGTGCTAGAGGGAACCGCAATGGGATAGGCAGGGATAATTTTGCGTCGGCTTATGTTGTGCTGTGGGGGCACTGCGTCAAGCGGGGAATCGAAGCTTCTCCCCAGCTGCAACTCTGCAACCACGAGTGTGCATGCGCACTGGCAAACTCCACAATGCCAGGGGCACCTCCCGTGTCCTGTCCAACCACGTATGCAGGCATCATTGCATCACAGGGCGAAACGCATGGAACCTTTGCGAAATACTTGTGAACTGGCTGTTATGTAAGAATTGGCCCCCTATCTCATGCAGGCATGGCGGCTTATGTTGAGCTGGATGATGGTGGATGACGGAAGCAGTGCTGCACTAGCTTATGTTTGTTTGGCGCCGCATGCCTACGCTCACAAACGCTCTCCTGCAACAATTTGCTGCACATGGCGCCATCTTCAGTGGAAGGGATGTTGGTCTGTTGTGGATCATTGTTTCAGCGCTCTAGCCAATTGCGCCACCAACGCTTGCGCGCCCTCACATAGGCCATGTCCGCCGCTACACAACATTCAGGCGCTATGGTGTAACACACTCTATCAGCGTCGTGACATTGCAGGCAGGGTCTAGGATACAGCAGCACACAGCAAGCATACTCCTTACAATACAACAAGTAAGGTTGCAAAGTAAGGTCACTGCATGCAACAAGACATCAAGTTTCGCGTTGCACACTGGCCAGTCAATGCCCTAAGCTGCATCATATTGTGCACGCACATATCCGGTACCATTTATTTTGACAGTCACCAAATCGTCCCCAGGCACAGGCAAGCAAGCACTTGGCTGCAGTGTGCTGTGCACAATACAGCGTCGGACAGCAAGGCAAAAACTTGCCTGCTCTGCATAGGACCCCCAGAGAGCCCTGGCCCTTCCCTCCTCCTCGGTGATCAGCGCCGAGAACCTGTTGCCACAATCTTGGTCCAGCTTGAGGACTTCCGCGTGCACCACACTGAAACGCGGAACTTCTGCACAGGGGATGCCCAAGGCCAGGGTGGCATTAGTCACGATGGAATCTAGTTTCATCACTCCTAGGGGCTCCGTGCAGCCCACCTGCACGACCTGATCGCCACGCTTCACTGAGGGGGCGGGGAGCATCTCAGCCGCACGGATCTCTCGCCTTGCCTCGATGAGGACGTCAGACGTTTAATAAGAAAAAATGGCAAAGTTGTGGAGCGGATGTAGGAACCTATCTTGCACACCAGAGCTCACATTTCTATGATAAGAAATTTTGTGGGGAATTGCAGCAAACTCAGCAATTCTTTCCATCGACAGAACAGCCCATTTCCATGGCTTTTGGCGCAGGCAATGAAGGAAAATTCACAACAGCCCAGATTGCACGTGCTTTTGGAGTGAGTTTGTAATGCCTATAGCAACGTTGTTGTGCGCACCCATCTTGAAGGTGGTGAGCGTGTGGTGTGTCGGCAATTGTGCGATTGCACGTCCGATGAGACGCATCATAATGCGACTGCCCAGCATCTGTGTTCAGTGACAGTATGGTTGTCCCAAACTCCTCTTATTTACGATTTATTGCGCCAGTAGATATCCTCAACATTTAGGGTCCATGAATTTGCACAAGCGAAAGTGTCTACCAGATGATTGAAACATGATATGTACAATCTGAGAAGCTCCCTGATCTCGACTTTGTGATTTCTATGTCGCTGGCACGTTTTTGCTAACAAACTGGCAGTCTACATGAATAACGCATTGTGCCAATTGCTCACGATTGCGATCATAGATCCCCTTGCCCATAGCAAGCACCTTGGGATTACCTTGGGAAATTTTTCAAGTATTTGTCCATTTTCTGTTGTTTGTGGCGCAGGAGTCCGGCGTCTCCGATGATCTGACCGAGAAAGTTGTTACAATTCTGGAGTCGGTGAGGGACCCCGTGTTGCGTTGAAATGGCCCTGACATAGCAACGTAGAGCCGCCAGTTTGCCTGATCTGCTAGCACACAAAAGCGAACACACGTGCTTGGGAGATTGTGGGAGCGTGCGATAGTGAATTGGTTGGACCATTGAAGGCAATTTTCCCATGAGCGCAGAATGCTAGATGATCTTTAAACAACATTCCCTTCTGACTTGTTGCAGCACGTGTTGAGAATAGCAGGAGCCATTTGATGAGGTGAGAAGGCTGTAGCCTGGCAGGGCTGATTGGCGGCTGCGCACCACACACTGTGCGACGTGGCCCAAATTTGGCCCTGGGAAGATGAACGAACTGTACAGTTGCACAATTGAACCGGACTGTCATATTGCAACTGCAGTGCTTCATCGCGCCGATGAGGTGTGTGTTTGCCCATTGACATCGGACCGCTGGAGACTAGACTGCCTCTCGATATTGGCGCCGCAGACCTGTCTACAGCTAGCAGTGGCACGCTGCTGCCTCTTACCTGCACACCGACTGCAGACCATGATGGGATCGCCTGTGTTTGACGGAATATCGCCGATTGCCCACTGGCCGGATCAGCCAATTGGGTGCTATTGGTTCCCCAACAGTCAATGATGGATTTTTTCGGCATGCTGTGCTATTCAGATGATCGAATAGCACCGCCGGTGCAATAGCACCCACCGATAAAGATGCTCTGAAGATGGTCCAAAAGAACAAGCAAGCCCCAGAGCAGGGCACTGCAGGGGTTCGAGCACCACCCAAGAGGCAACATTGCGTGTCCGTGACTCTGCTGCGGGCAGCCAGGTCCCAGGAAGGCAGTGCATTGTGTGGCGATGAAGCCCAGGCTTGACAAGGCCTTGTCATGCCGCGGCACCGGCCTGGGTCACGACCCTGGCCGTTATTGGTGCCGCAGCATCACACCGCGTCTGCCACGCGACCCCCTGCCGTTCCGATTCATCGGTCACCTTCGTGCAATCGCCGTCGTGCCCGCTCCATGACGCATGATTTTGGCCGGTCCCATTGCGCCACCACAAGGCCGCGAAGGCACCCCAGTTGTTAGCGCATTACTCGTGGATCTCCGTGTGACTCACCGCCACCACCACCTGAGGCGACGACACCAACACAGACCAAACACAGTCGAGTCGACCCTCCGTGTGACCAACGTAACCTTGACGGCCGCCCCGATTGGCTGGACCGTTGTACCAGGTCATGGCTCTCACGGTCTGGCCCTTGCGGTCCCCGCCCCGCCGTGCATAATACGCGCAGGCGGCGCGCACAGCCACACAGCGCAAGACCACCATGGCAACCGCGAAGGGTGTCTGCAACTCATGCCTGTTGGGTGTGCCGGCCAGGGCGGCTGCCCCAAGGAGGGTGGGGCGGCTGGCCGACGGCAGGAGGGCCGCAAAGCGGCTTGCCACTTGGGCGGCGCCGCCGCTGCAAGAGGAGGTGGGTCTGGGGAAGTTGACCAAAGGGAGGGAGGGAGGGGGGTAGAGGGTGGAGGAGAGGCGATCCCCGGTGGCTGGCCCGTGAGAGGATGGGAAAGTGCGGTGGTAAAGTGGGGATGATGAGCGCCAAGCCGCCGGCAAACCGACGTCGGGTATCGTGGAATGCCAAGGGTGATATCATGCATGACCATGTGGTGGGCGCGGCTGCGGCCTTGTTGCGTTACTCTAGGAGGCGGCTTTTCTCTTGCGCTGATCCTGTGCCACTCGCGGGGGAGGTTGCCGAGGCTATCGGGGAGGCGTCAAGATGCCTGGTGCGGCCGCATGGGCTGCGGTGGATCTCGCGGGTCGGCGTGAGAAAGGAGGGGGGGCGGCACTTGCGGCGCCTGAGGTAATGGCGTGCTGCCGGAAAGGGTTCGAGTGAGTACTCCGGGAGGGGTGCGAGGTCGAGAGTGGGGAACACCTGCCGGACACAGCTGCGTCCGTGGTCGCTTCGCCCAGGCCAGCAACCGTCAGGTCCCTTTAGGCCCTTTACGGCTTAGTTGCGCGTTTAGACGTGACTTGGTATGAGTGACTGGCCCCGGGGTGCGGGCCTCGAAGCCCAGCAGCCTCCCGCCACCCCTGTTGTGACGTTTCTGTGTTTTGTTGCGCTTGCAAAGGACGAATCCGGTGACGTGCGCGGTCTCGCAGCGGAGAAGCACTCCTACCCATATTCCCATCAAACCAACCACGTGGCGCCTCCACGTGCCCCTCCTGGCTCCGTCTCGCCACGGTCCATGGCAGACTGCTAGATAGGCAGCCCCTAAGCAAACGCCCACATCCAATGGCAACTTGGGTGCTCCTCGTATTCCAAGGCGTTTTCCGGGCGTGTCTAACTCATGTGTCTCCATGTGATGCGCTGCCACGTATTGGCATTGCGCTCAACATCTTTACAATATCTTAGTGGACTCTTTGGGCGTATGATGAAGTTGCCATAGTCTGTCGTTGTCATCGAAGTCATCTCCCTGGTTTATGAGTGCTTTGAGCTCACAATACTAAAAACTCAGGTAGCACGCCTGACCGACGACTTGGGGTTTTCCCACCTCACTGAGCGCCAACCTGCTTGGCGATGATCAGTGTGGCGAAGGTGCTGAGGCTGTCGACATCAACTCTGCATCATATCCAGACCTCACGCGTCGCCAGCTGAGAGATATCACTAATTTACTAACTGTTGGATGCCCCCATTAATTGGCGACCCGAATAACAGCCGTTTTCCCGGAAAAGCTAGATGTGCATGGAGCCATCTTCAGTGGAAGGGATGTGCGCATACTGGGTCATTGATTCAGCGCTCGAATCAGCTGCTCCACTGACGCTTGCTTGCCCTCACGTGAGCCATGCCCGTCACCACACAACTGTTGGACGCTGTGGTGCAACAATGCACCATCAGCATACGTGACACTGCAGGCTGGGTGTGGGACAAAGCAGCACACAACAATCATACTCCTTACAATCAATACAACAACGAAATTCTCCACGGTTTCCGGGTCGAGCATACCTACGCCCGCGTCCAACTACTGCGCAACCCACCAGTCTCCCTATTCACGTGGTCATACCTTATTCACCAGTGCCGGCACATAAACAAATCCCGGCCAGCTCGTTCAAAAGAAAACGTCCCGTCGTCAAACACCAACTGCGATCCCAAATACGAAAGGCAGCCGCAGTGACCACAGCAGCCCATCGACAGACAAAACAAGTTCTCCACCCGAGGGTGGGGGAGGGGGTAGACTAAGCACATTATTCCCAAATTCACTTTGCCGCAGGGGCCGCGGTCCGACCAAGCACAGCGTCCCTGCACGACTCTAGGATTGTCACGATTTCGTCGACGAGATCTTCGGGGACGCCAGCTTCCTGCAAAACAAATGCGCCATCAAAGATCGTTTTTGTTTTTAAGAGACACTCAAGGACATTCAAGCTACTGAACTCAAGGGTTCCGATTCCGTATCGATCCTTGTTACTGCTGCAGCCTATATCGTCTGCATTCCTCTCGCCCAAAGACAACAATGGGCACTGTGCGGGCTGTCGAACAATGGTGCGATACAAACATGGTGCTGACGAAGGCAAATTGTGACTGTGCTTGTGTAAGTTTGCTGGGAATGCACACAACGCCACAACAGCAGAATAAAAGATGAAGGATGAGCAACTTTACACTGCATTTGACACTTCCACAGCCAGTAAGGTGGATATGCGATCCACCACCCAGGAGTCTGGCACTTGTCGGACCCCACATGCACTGCTTTGATTCTCACCCTCAATGAAGCGACAAACAGTTCGCCCACAACGTCGTAGTCTGCATCGCAGAGCCCTCGGGCAACCAGGTCGGCGTGGCCGGTGGTTAGGTCCCTGCCCTTGTACGTTGTCTCGGCACCAAAACCGTACTTCAAGAAGCCCGCCATTTTCATCTCCATCTTCTCCTTGTTGAGCCCCTCAAACCAGTGCTTGATTCTGTCGTCAGTGAAGGCTTTCATGTAGAACAGTCCAATCACCGTCTTCACGGGCTTCTCGCCACCCAGCCTGTTGTAGAGACACTCTTTGGCAGGGGCAGGCGCCGCCACCTGCAAGACAAGGGCACCACTTCGTCCATCAGTCTCACAACAGAAGCGGACACCACAGCCAGCGACCACGGGCTCAAGGGGGGTGGTGCATACCAACCACGACAACAGGTCCGTCACGGACGATAACCTGTAGTGCACAGGCACATCGGGATATGCATTGCAACACAAGCTGTGCTTTGCTTAACCGTGACTTCGAGGAGTTGCATGTCATTCTGAGTCGTTCCGCAAACCTTGGCCCAAAACGGTCCAAAATGGACAATGCGCATAGCAGAATTGCATGCAGCTGCATTTCCAGCGGCGCGCAGCAAGTTTTGACGGGCCAACTTCTTGTTATCACCGTTGCCAAATGACGACCCTCACGACAGCCACGTCCTGAACGTCCCGAACGTCCCATTCCTCCCCCCCCCCGGCGTTGGAGCGATGGGGAAGACGAAGCGGGCTGATCGGCTGCAGCATTCCGTAATCCTCCAGGCCGGGTCCCGGACGGGTACAAGGCAAGGCAAAGGCAGACCGCCACCACCCGGTACAGGGCCGTGGGTACAGCGCGCCGTGGAATCGGCAGCGGCCGTGCTGCCGTCTGCGCCTCGGGCTCCGCCCTGCCCCAAAAGGCGACGGACGCTTCCTGGGCGCCAAGCTCAAACGTTGGATGAAGTTCTCGCGCCGCTCAACGAACAACGGACTCCTTGCACAGAGCCGCTCTGCGCTTTTTCCGCGCCAATCCCGCCTAACGTGGTGCTTCCTCGCACAGCAAGCAAAGCCTCCGTCATGCCCGTCTAGGAATCATCGGCGTTCGCCTCTGTTGTGAAATCCAATGGAAGGGGTCGCCTGCCGGCCGGCCGCGCTGCCCGGCGCCCCCCGGCGAGGCGCCCGCCTCCGCGGGCGGCGGGAATCGCGAGCCGTGCCCGCGTGATATTTTCGTGCCCCCTTCGCAGAGGATCCGCCTTCCGGGCCAGCGCACCGTACGGACCGGCAAGGCGGTCGTCGCCACAACGGTCCTGTCGATCCCAGGGGCTGCAAGGCGCGGAAGTGTGCGGCCACCAGGCGCCCAATCCACCCGATCCTCCCCCGTCCAGCGGTGATGGAAAAGAACGTGTCGCGAGGCGCGGCGGCCGGTGGGAAGTGGGACACATTTTCCGTCCCCCATTCATGGAATGCATCTCAAGCAGCGCCACCCGGGGTTCTGCCCGTCGAGAAAGGCCCCAGGAGCTCGACCGCGGTGGCAGGCCGATGCCAATCTGCAGAAGGGTTTTGGGGCTCACCTTCTGCGCCTGCTGGGCCTTCTCGGGGTAGGACCCGCGCGGCGTGGGCACCTCGCCGGCGCTCCTGTTCACGCTGGGCCATGATGGAGAGGACCACGCCGAGCGGAACCATTGCAGGAAGGCCTCCATGGCGCCGGGTCGGCCCTGGGCGGGATAGAGGCGCGAGGGGGGACGCTGGTGGGCATCGACCCGCAGAGGGAGCGTCACTAAAGGCGCTCGGCCGGCTCTGAGCAGGCGGCCGGCAGTCGCCGTTTTTTCGCCCCTCGAGTGGCCCCGGGGGCCGGTACCCAGGGGCCAGTACCCAAGGCCTTCCCCGTGGGCTGTACGAGGAGGCCGATTTGGAGTGATCTACATCGTCCGCGCGCCCCGCGCATCTCGTGGTAGCACCCGGTGATGGTGGAGACCGCGGTGGCCGTGTTGCTGGGCACGCCCGTTGCATTACCATTGTACTCTCGACGTGCACGGGATACTGGGTTCTGTTGGTGGGTTTGGGCATGTACGACCATGCTGCAAAAGGCGCCGCCCACGAGGGGCAATGCGCCGGGCGCCTGTCCTGCGACCGTTCTGACGGGCCAGCGCACACAATCTCCGCTGGGACACCTGCGCACCCGCCTGACCGTCTCAAGCGTGCACGGGTGCGGGGTGCATTGGTGGCGGCTTCGCGGGTGGGAGCGATCGCCTCGGCTCGATTGGTTCGCGGACGACGCTTGGCCCCTCTCTCACGATCAACTTCAAGCGCCAGCCAGTGTTCACCCACATCACACCGTGTCCGGTGTTGACAAAGGGTCCACTCGTGTGCGCCCGTCTGCCCCTGGCAGCTTGCGTCTCAATGACAGTGTTTTCCAAGATAGGCTGATCGCTGATGGGACCAGTGGCGCCTCGGAGGCGATGCTGTCCCGTGCCATTTGCTTCTGCCTCTCGCATCAACGGCGCACACTTTTGACCGCAGCTCAAATGCTTCACGATGCGCTGGGCGTATCTCCCCACGGTCCATCTTTTGTGCGACTATTTCTCCATGAGCCGCATCACTGCACACACCGGCCAACACACTTCGTTTCCGTCTCTTTAGCAAGGGCTTTTATTTCGGAACAGGTGTTTCACAGCATCAGATCAACAACAATGCCCTTTGTCTGTCGTCCAATGGCATTAGTGTTCCGCGCCTTGGCACCTCATGTCCGACGACCACAGGAAATCCCTCTCACGTAGTTTTACACCCCGTGTCCCAGGCACCATTATGAATTTTCCGATGAATCAAGGAAAGTACAAACATTCAAATTCCAGCCTGGAATCTGCAGTTTCAATGACGTTCCCTTGCAATGCTCGAATCTGATTGTCGAATTCAGCCTCACGCTCTCTGGCCGGTTCCGATTATGTCTTCAGGTCAAACGGTGACAGATTCACTCCGTCTGAACCGCCACGTGCGCTTCCTTTTCCAGAGTCCTGGTCACGCCCATATTCCTTCCTACACACACTTCTTTATTCAGCGCGGTATCCCCATCTCGGTATTTATGGACTCCAACCCCGTGAAGCCAAACACTACCACACGAAAACGCGCTCAGAACGACGCGATGACCAAATCACCGGTGGACCACGGCGTTCTGTCGCTATTGCTACCATTGTTGCCCAGACAATCTTTGTATCCTCTTGCATTTGACCAAGAATCTCTGCCCCCTCGCCTTGGGAACGGTCAAACCCGTCTGAATTGAGAGGCGAACTTTGTTGGGAAAGCGCTTGCGACGCGCATACTCTGCCTCACCGTCTTCTATGCATGAGCCCTTTGTAGAAGTTTCCTAATAAGTTCTGATGCCCAAGAAATCTCTGCGTGTGCCGCCTCACTCCATCTTCCACACGGAGTATCCGTGGCGAGGCCTGGCTGAATATAAAATGCTCAATGTGTGACGGACAGCAGGGCGTCCATACATGCTACAGTATGCAGCATATAGTGTGGCCCTCGTATCAACTTCGCTTGCATCCATGTTTCCCCGTTTCTGACGCTCTTCTTGCAGCTTCTGAGACTCTGCACATGCGCTAGTCGGCCACAAGCATTCACAGCCGTTTTCGACTACAGGCAGCATCCGCTTGACCACCAGCACCCAATGCTGCGGCAGCCCAGTGGTGTCCACATTGTACAAAGGAAGAGTTATCTAGGTTGTCTGCGCCCTGCGACTGTGGGACTCAGGACTGCCAGTCCTGAGCCATTCATGGAGACCTGTGTCCATGCCGCACAAGTTCCTTTCTGGTTCGAAGAATCTGGAGTTTGTCATGTTGGAACTTGGCTTGGCGACGCTTTTTCACAGTAGTCGGCATGCCGCTTTTCTCACCAAGCACACTCAAGCTCGCAGCGGCGCGCACCCAAACAAAATACGATGGAGCGATTTGTGGCTGATGCTCACACATCTAACGAAGCTGGGTCAGACCTCTGCGTACGACACACCCATGGGTTAGGGGTCATGGGTACAGAACAACTGCCTGCACGTACTGCCGACTGCATCATTGGGACTGGCCCACCTCGCAGCTGTTCCACAGCGAGCTTTGTCCCCAGGACGTGGCTGCTTGCCCTTTATGCCACGGCGGCCGCAAGTCTCCAATCACAAGCCTGTAACATGAAGGGATCACAAGACCTTTCTTCCAGCGTCTCCCTCTATGCTTTCAAAGGTCGTTCTCGTCTTATGTATCCTCAACCCGTTTTAACAGTCAATGCAACTGTGTGCGAGTTTCGTCTGCAAGCGTTCCATCTGCATATCTTGAGCCTATTCTTAGATGCACTGGCACTTCCATTTGCTTCTGCCATGGTGGCGAACTCGGGCCGTTCGACGCAGGGATTTAGCATTGATGAGGTACACGCTCCTCATCATGCTATGCGACTTCAGCATGATGCGCCCAAGCCCTCGGACCAACGAGCGACTGTACATAAAAGAAACGATCCTATTATTTGTAACATGTGCACCAAACAATAACATGCGGTAGCTTCATGCATGCGCTAAGGCCGTGCTTCCAAGCGCATGTGACTGCCTCTTGATCAGGGGTCCAGTAAAATGCCGCACTGCACCTTGCCATATCGACTTCCCGCAAGCGTCAGCATAAACCTGTTGATCCTTCAATGAAGCAGATTCGCAGCCCAGCGCTCTGCCACAGGTCCAGGCCGAGGCGCTGCCACAGACGAGTCAGCCATTGTCTTCGGCTTCTCTGACGCACCGCCACTGATGAGGCGGATTCTGATTAAAAAAAGTGTTACAAGTGAGCCTGAATCTCTATGCGGTCCATTCTGTCTGGCCCCACCACCCGGTCGACAGTCAAATTCAAGATGTCGCCTGTCTCGAACTGCTCGATGACCGACTGCAGCTCTTCGGGGTGAACCACGGGTTGTCCGGCAGCCGCCACAATGAGGTCTCCGATGACCCAGCCGCCTCCCGCTCCTCGTTGAAGGCCCCTGCGGGACGTTCACAAATTCTGGAGTTGCAGAACGAACTGCAGAAATCCCAAGGCGTTTAGGTTCCAACATGCCGAGCCCAACGATTCGGTTCGTCGCCGGTGTGCACACATTCAAGTGCTCAAGTGATACAATCATCGCGCTTGGCAGTCATTCCAACACTGCAAACGCACGATAGGTTGGGCGCGCATCGTCCTTCGCAGCAACTACTCTTGGGACGATTCGCATTGTCCTTAGGGTTTGGGGAGCATCACTGATGATGGCCCCTGCGTGATCGGTGTTGAGCACGTCTACATGGCCCAAGTTTGCTCCCTGCCTTGGAAGGGCAAGGGACTGAACTCGTCGGCGCCCTCACCTCAAGCCCGCCCTTTCGGCCGCCGACCCAGGCTCTACGCTGTGCACCACGACGCCCCTCTTGCCGTAGTGGTCCAACAGGCAGTTTGCGCCAAGCCGAGGCTGCACCTCCCGGCCGTGGCGTATGATCTGGCTGACCACCCGCCGCACAGTGTTGGAAGGTATGGCGAAGCCAACACCAGAGAACGTCCCCGAGCTGCTGGCTATGGCGGTGTTGACGCCTACGAGGCGGCCCTGGCTGTCGAGCAGCGGGCCACCCGAATTTCCTGACACACACGGCGATTTGGAGTTAACGAGCGCCAAACTCAGCTGGAGTCATCAGCACAAAGATACTTTTTTCATTTCGCGGGCAAGATATGCTATTACAAAGTTGTGGCCGTGTCTGAAACCTTTTGGATTGAAATTTTTGAATGAGCCGACAATCATGTGCTGGAGTGCCTCGTGAACTTAATATGAACTGAGGGCTGCCTCCTCTCCTGGGCATTTAATGTTTCATGATTGATGAATTGACTGAAACACAAAGGGACAAAAGCAACTGATTTTAGCAGCGACTTGGTCCATCGCTCCCCATTGGTTGAGAAGACAACCCTGCTGGCCAGTGCGGCCACGCACGAATGCAGGGGGCGCACGAAGCTGGCCACCAGCTAGCCCGCCAGTACCCTCATCGATTCGGCCATCTTCTTAAGACGCCGACGACAGTCGGAAGAAAAAGTCTTTCCGCAGCACGTGCGAATGCTTGAAGAGACACGACATGCCGACGGGAAGCCTGAAATTGTCCACACCAACTTCCAATCCTGCCCTCATGAAATTAACAGCCAAAACGCGACCTGGCAAGTGGACGACTTGAAAGTTCAAATCCGCAGGTAAAAAGCCATTCATTCCGCGGTCTCTGCCCATGATTGGGCAATGGCAACTTGGCGAAATGTTGTAATAATGTATTATTACAAATGCATTTGTAAACACAAATGCATTTGTATACAAATGCGGCAGCATCAACCGTGTTTCAACGCAACTAATCGATGTGCCGTTAACAGCATTCCAGAAGCCAATTTGCGATGTCGGACGGGCAGCAACCCGGTGCAGCGGACCTGGGTTGATTGCTGCGTCTGTCTGGATGACATCTCGGATAGTTTTCCCGCCCGCGCCTGTTATCTCACGGCCCAGTCCGCTGACGATGCCTGCCGTCAGGGTCTGGTCGAGTCCGAATGGATTTCCGATGGCGAACACCCTCTGTCCTACATTCAGGAGGTTGGAGAAGCCCACCTGCAAAGCGGTTCATGTCAAACGCCAGGCCCTGGAGGCTGTCGCTGCTGCACGCCATATCATATGCACCGGGTGCAAGCCAAAGTATCGGTATTTAATCCCAAGTTTGTTCTATCAGAGCATGAGGGTGACGCCAAGTTAATCTCGCGTTTCGGTGAAAAGACCAAAGCGCTGACGTTCGTCGCCAATCAGTGGAAGCGCCCATGATGTTCTCATCCGGTGTACTGACCCAAACATGACACAAACGCCAGGACTTCGCAGTAATGTGTGTAAAGCCACGGCGATCGCAAGCATTGCATGGGACAAGTCATTGTGCATGTACCTTTTGGGGTATGTTGCAAAATGAAAGTGACGTTTCGCAGCAGTGATTCCCACTCGCGATACGTGCGCTGGATGCTGAAAAGGATTAGTCATCCGTCGAAGCCACACCTGTACTTTTCCATGTCGCAATGCGAAAACACTTTTTGCCTCAGTTCCAGCTCGCCAACTCGCGAAGACACTTCGTTTGATGTATTACCTTCGATTATGCCTTCTAGGCATCGGGAGTTAACAGACTCATAGATTTAGTTTGTGTTTCACATTAGGTTTCCACGAACCGATCACCGACTCTGCTTTGCTCAGGCAGAATAGGAAGCTGACGGCTACCTCCTTGCCTTGTTCTGTAAAACATAACGATGATGAACGAATGAAAAGGATTAGGGTTCAACGCACGTTCCTGGCATGCACTTGTCTGCACTGAGCAGACTCAGCGCGGCCAATCCTGCTGGCACAGCGCACCACATAAGAAGCCTGCCATAAATTCCACGACAGCGCACCTTCTGGTGCAATGATGTTCCCCTGACATTTCTGGCGACCTCTGTGTTTATGTGCTTTTACAGCACGTCAAGGCACCCAGGCTGCAAGACGAAGTCGCAAACAATTATCACCCCTCCGCACCCTCGAGCACCAGCAACACAGCGTCCACCTCGCCTTGGCAACGGCAACGACGTCGTCAAACGAAAGGCCGTTTTGTGGCCACTCCGGCACATCTGGCTGCGGATCCCCGGCCTCCCTGACTTTGTATTCACTGCCTTATGTACACAGGGCCTTTAGTTACGTACTTCTACACGCGTTTACACGTAAAAACTCAACTACTATTTTTGCGCATATATACGCAAATACGCGCTCTGTTTGCGCTGTATATAACACGCTGGCAATAGCTTTCACTCGCCTCGTACCTGGACTGGAGCCAGTGAGGGACCCTTGCCTTCAGTCGCCAAAACGGCGATGTCTTTGTCAGCTGACGCGCCTTGCACTTTGGCCGTGGCAGTTTTCCCATCCGCCCACGCGACCTGAAGCGTCCCAGCGGAGCCCACCACCTGAAAACAGACAGCCACAAACGAATTTATGTATATGTAATTTATTTGATTTATCGTTCAGCAGCCACATGCAGTGAATTGGCATGGCGTGCTGGCGAATGGTGTGAGCAATAATGTGCTGCGAGTGCATGTATTGATTGCTTCCCTTGTCACAATATCACTGGACTTGAAATTTTTGTTTTGGTCCATTCCCTTGTTCCTCTGTCCACTGTGTGCCATCCCATTCCTTCCCGACTGCAGGGAGCGCTCATCGAAGATGACTTGAAGGTATTTGATTTGTGTTGGCTTGGCTTGCAGCTGATGGGATGATTTTCGCTCGAAGTTTCGTCAACAGAACTCCTATTTTAGCTTCATGCAAATCCGCCAAGAGCGCATTCTCCCAATTGATGACCCAGCGCTTGCAGATTCTGACGCGCAATTCGCTCATTCTACAATTTCTGATGGACAAAATAAACCAAGGAAAGCTTTGTTGTTTCGCCTAAAAGGCGGCGCATTGCAATTGACGCCACCGTCACGCGCAACGCCTCAAGAAATCATGATGAACAAGCTGCAAACGTGGGCACAGTGAGCAGCATGGGCTGGGGCGTGTGCGAGAGGGATACCCACATGAAGGTTCGTGACGATGTGGCCCTTGTCGTCCCACACAAACCCCGTTCCACTGCCTCTTGGGATTTGCACAGGGTTGAGGGAGAACAAGGTCATCGCCTGGTCATAGGACCTTATGTGCACGACACTGTGACGGCATTTCTGCAGTGCATAAGGCACAAGGAGGTCACGCACTGGTCTCCATATCCATATTGAAGACATTCAGCAACACACAGTGAAGCACTACCATTGCACCCATTCCAATTCCGTAACAACTGCCCATTCTAGTGGAGCATTGTACGAGGAGTCGATCAATGCTGAAAGCGTGTCAACTTGCTCAAACATCGCATCAGCACCTTGTACGCTATCGGGACCAACAACATTTGACCATGCCGTCTAATCCTTTTCACCGATGTTACTGGGGAGCTGTATATTAAACATAGCGCATACAATGCCCATAATTTGTCGATGGGCCACAATGGTCAATTCCACCTCAGCCGCGCAACGATGCCATGTCGCTGAGTGGGAAACTTCTATTCAACGATTCTCTTGCAACAGAGCACACCAGCACAGGGAGCAGGCCATAGGTGATGATCTTAAAGTGTCTATGTCCACCACAACAGGCCTGCTGTTGCCCTATGGCCTGCTCCCTGTGCTGGTGTGATCATGTTGTGGTGGACGCAGACACTTTAAGATCATCACCACTATGCATGATGGGCAAGGCTGCACACAGGATCCAAGCAAAACATGGTGTGAGTGCTGATAATTCTCTTCATGCTTCATCGAAGGCCAGTGCCCTTATGCATTCAGATCGAGGCGATGCATCTCAAGGTTGCCATGGTTGTCAAACCTTCTATAGAGGTACCCTCACAGGATGCAATAATGACATGTCAAGGCAGCCAGTGGACAAGGTTGCTGAACAGGTTGAGTGCAACGCACTCTGGCACAGTGTGATGCAGCTGTGGATGCAACGGACAGGCGCCATGTTGTCACTGGGAACGGCCCTTACATTGAACATGTTCACCACATATTGTTCATCAATAAAGAGGCCCCCCTGCAGCTGTCCTGACGATTCTGTTGGAGCGGAATTGGCAGACAAGGTCTGACTCCCTCCAAATTGCCTTGCCAGTTTGGGTCCATGAAATGCATCCCAACCCCTGCTCTCCAAGTCCACAGACACCTGCCCGACATCTGGTGCATGTAGTTTAGTTCTACACCCTCTGGAGAAGTCAAATTCATGGCAGGTGGTGCCACGTATTTTTAAACTGCGGATGCACAAGACAGGACAGCAGGAGCAGAGGCATGTGACAGTACCAACTTTGAGCTCCTGATACAGATATCACTGCTGCGAGTTGGCAGAAAGTAGATGCCCAACTGTGCATCGCCTCCCCGCAGGCGACCATATGACATCGCAAGTGACAAGTGTACAGTCATGGAACAGGCTTTTCTCAAGTACAATCTCTCCAGAGGATGCACACTCCTCGTGGCAGTGACCTCAGCACTCAAATGCAGGCATTCAGCGCGTGTCCGAAATTCATGCACTCCAACGCAGGTGGCAGCCAGGTAATAAAACCGTTGACTGGGAGAGTGACCGAACACTTGTTCCACAATGCGGCGTGCAGTGCCCCATCAGGGCCAGCAGCGCGAACACTTTTCCGCGGATCAGCCAGGCGCGATCGTAGAAGGGGCAGGCAAGGAGCGCAGCCTCATGCTGGCAAAGGGACAGGCGCACCCTGCGCGAGGCGACCGCGTGCACAAAACCGCCACTGTTGGCCAGTGTCCTCAGGGCCGCCAAGCTTTCCCATCCTGAGCGACAGTCGAGCTGAACATCACAGACCGTAATAAACCGACGAACACGCGATGTGCGGGGAGCGCACCAGCCTGGGACAAGATGGCGTAGTTGGGTCCACAGCGTGCGACTCAAAGTCCCCCCTGGGCCTTGTGGGCCATTGCAGAGCGAACGTTCAATTCAGGCAAGCTCCTACGATCTTTCCTGTCAAGTTTGGGTACGAGCACAGCGTGGCGACGCCTCAGGGCTCAGAGATCAGTGCCAGGTGCGGCGAATAACATGCCAATGCCCGCATGCCCAAATGGGATTGACGTGGTCGTTGGAGCGGGTTGATCGACTGTGCGTCGAGGCTCACCATAAGGATCGCATCGCCGACGCAGGGCCTCGAGTGCGCGCGAGTTGGACAAGAGTCGTCGCAGCATCGTGGCAGGGACGGGTGAGGCGTCCAGCCCGGACGAGAGAGGGGACTGTCGCCAACCTTCCTGCCCTTGCTTCACCGCTGATGACCAGTCAGACGGGGCAGGCCCCGCAGTTTTTTCATCCAGGCCCCCGCTTGTCTGCAGCGGCACTCACGTTTTTTTCGATCGCGTGGGGATCGTGTGACCCCTGCGGCGACAGCGTCCTCAGGAACCTGTTAATGGGAGTCTTTCCAGAAGTCAGTTTTCATGAGCTCTGGACATCTACCGACCCCGCGCTTGGCCAGAAGCACAGTTGTGCTTCTTGAGCACGGCAGGTCCCCTTTGCCCGACATCGCCAGTTTGGTGCAAGGGCTTTTGCTTGGCAGCTTGACAAATGTTATGTTAACGATGATTAAAAAACGCACAGGCCCCGCTGAATGTTGATGCAAGGTCTTGAGCCCCTGGAGCTCCAAAGACGGAAAAATGTGCTGGCTGGGAACTAGACCCTTGCCGGATCAGCGCAGCACCATCTAAATATCTCCTCTACGAGTTGCCCTTTGCCGGGACGTCAAAGGATCGCACTTGAACCTACCCTACAAGAAACGATTGGCCTGGACATTGCCGAGTCAAAAAATGGACCAACACACTCTAAACGGGGCCGTCGGCCGGGATATTGGTCATCGCTTGCTACATCGCTCTGCTCCAAGGACGACGATGTGGGAAAAGTATCACATCTAATCTATCTGTTTAGCTTACTTGAAGTTGAGTCTGCTTGTCGACCGTCTGGACGTCTTTGATACGGCACACTGAGTATTGGACGCCATGTGGTGCCGAGCCTCGACAGGTGACGACTTTCACGGCGCCACACCATGACAAGTTTGGATGCCGCACCCAGAGTGCGTGAGGGGCTGCAGGGGTGCTGTACCAAGAATGTGGAAGGTTTTGAGGAGCACTTTCGCCTTGAGTGATTTGATCTTATTGCTCGAGAACTGGAGGTACAATGTGGTGCCGAACCTGCTGCGGGAATCAAGCAGACACGGCAATTCCCCTCGCAACATCTTTGGACCCAGTGCAACTGTGTCTTCTGAGTAAACTCGCGGGTTTTCATTTTCCCTTGGTGGTGCTGTCGCACCGCGACGGTAATTGCTCGCCGGGGTTCGTCTGACCCCGTCGAGGACTTCTCGATCGGAGACGTGCCGGTTTGGGCGTGACCACCTTGTGCTGAGAGATTCGACACCCGCATTCCATATTGGCGGTGGTACGAGGCATAACGCCACAGTCGTGTGAGCAGTGCGTCTTTGGGGTTGCGTATTTTGTTGAACATGATTCAAGTGTCAACGGCCGGCTGCTCCTGCCTTAAGAGACAACCAATCTCACGCATTGGAGGTTCCAGGGAATGCTGTTACGCAATTTGACACAAAAACATTGACCTGCAAGGCGACAATATCGATCGAGGGCATGGCAGATTTGCCCTCCGGTTTTCTGTGTCCTCCAACCAGGCGCTGCGCATTCTTTCGGATGCATGCAACGCGTGTCTTGGATGTAGATGCATGTTTGCCAATTACGGTACACTACATGGAAATTGGATAGGACTCTTGCAGGGGCTGGCCGAGGGTGTGTTCCCCCATTTACGGGGAGGACGTCACAGGCCAACACAATACCCCAAAGTTATCAGACTGTCCTGGCTTATCTGCTGCTGTCTCGGTAGATGCCAAGCTTTTCCGCCATGCATTTTGTGGGATCTTGCTGTGAGATGCACGGTTAGCAATCAAGTGCTGTGGGCACCCAGCCAACGAGACAGCACCTTCATCTTCGAGATCCCGGATGGCAGGGACCGAGGGAGGACGGCGCCAACCACAGCCACATCCCGCCAGAGTGCCACCCAGTGCACCGAATGCGAGTGCGCTTAAATTCAGAGCCCCTGCAATGAATCTCAACACTGCCAGGCTCCCCACAATAGAGGCCATAACAAAGATAGAACGCCCACTACCCCAACGTTCTCTGCTTTCCCCAGTCCCAAGTGCACGTTCTCTTCCCTCCCACGAGCTGCTCACACAATCCTTTGCGTATCTTCTGCAGGCTGGGCCTCCCCCTGTAAGACAAACTCTGAGCACTACATCTCCAGGGAGGAAATGTTGTGCCGCGTCCATCTGCACGTGTTGGAGTCCAGCTGAAGCTCCCATGTGGGCCAGTATCTCAGGTCCATCTTCAATGTTAGGACCTGTGGACACCCACCACTGGGGCTCAATGACTTGGGCAAAGCGCCGCTGGCTGCCGCAGGCATGCTTGAGCGGAAAAGGGCAGACGCTCCAGACAGAATATGCCCATCGCTGCCTTGGAAGAGCGAGGGCAGCACTGTGGTACATTTTGCAAGATGGATTCATGTGACTGGCGCAACAGCCACAAATAGGCCGACGAGTGCCCTAGCCTGCCTGGTCACTCTTTAGAACTACCTAGATAGAGTCTGATCAGCATTTCGTCGAGACAAAGGTCCAGGTTCTGGGATTTGAGATCACCTCTGGGATCTTGAATCATTGTGTGGGCGCAGCTGCAAGCCAGGAGTCGGCATTAGGTCATCGGCATGCTATGGCTTGGTTGTTGGAACGAAAGGCCCACAACATACAACATCCACTTCCAGACTGACAGCCCAACGGTCCATTCAAGGACTTCGTTGGGTGGGAATACATTCAGTCGCTGTGAACAACACCTGGCATTACATGATATGTGTAAGGCCAGCGCTTAGTTTGACAGAGCACTGTTGTGACAGCCTCTATCACAACAAATCTACCAGATGATATTCGTCTGCAGGTGCTGAAATTCCACATGATGAGCACATCTCATATTGAGGCAAACACACCATGCTGTTCAGTGTTGAGCCTCCGTGGTAGCTGACGACTGACAGCAACCCACCTTTGGTTTTGTAGTTTCCAAATGACAAACCTTGACACGCACACAGTCGCCATCCTGTAGGGAGCGAGTCACATTGAGGAAGGCATCCAAGTCTGGCGTGGGCACACTGTTGACCTCCGTGATCCAGTGCAAGGCAAAGAGGCCATAGCGATGGGCAGGTGAGCCATGGTGCCAGCGGGAGATGTAGACACCATCAGCGCCCTCCGGCACAAAACCCAGCTCGCGAACGGCTCTATGGGGCGCCTGCACAGCCACTCACGATGTCAGCATCAAGGCCAGCACACCAACGAGTATTCCTTCTGTGATGCAGGTGCAGTTTGCTGCGACAACACTGCTACTCGCGCCAATACCCTTGCAGTCTGGCCGCACGTCAGAATGCCCATTGATTGATTGATGCCAATATCGAGTGGCCTGCAGCAGCCTTGCCACAGTGCAACACTCACTTGCAGACCAATGTGGTAGACACATGCATGAAGCACAGCAAAGTACTGCATCTTTGTGAAGTTGCTAACTTTGCATGTGTGTTTGCATGCCATAGGCTCAGAAACCTGAGTAAGCATTTCAGGCAAGTGGCCGGCATCCACGACAGAGGACAGAGTCATGGCCGTCACCCGTGACAAAGGACACAATCACCCAAAAGTCAAAAATGAATCCTTCCTTTGTTTGAAATGACCAATGCGGTGGCATTTGAAGTCTTTGTGGCACTGTCTATGTTGTGTTGTTCTTGTAACACAGCAAGGACAACACTGGAGACAAAGTGCAAGTCGAATGGAGACACATGCACACACAATCAGCCATAAACGCCAACCAAACGAAAACAGACAAAGCACTGCAAGTCCTGACCCACAGGGTACAGCACAATGAAACAATACCCCAAGAAAGAAAAGAGGCAAGGTCTAAGTGCTGCAAACCGCAAGAAACAGACAGAACACAAGCACAGTCGGCAAACAAAAGCACAGACACCAAAGCACCACCTCACAGCACCCTCACCTGTAACTGCGCACCGCACCAGTGAACCAAGCGGTCCGTTCCCATGCCATACTCTACCCCAAGCCTAACGACTACATTCTCCAGAACCTTGCGTTCACGGAACACCGTTAGAGGGAGGCACCGCGTGTCATCCTTCGCGCTTGAGCATGCATCCTCATGGCTGTTGTCAGGCAGTTTCCCATTGCGACTCTCCTGCTGCTCATGGGAAGCCCCATTGGATCCCTCACACAGTGCCTCACCATTGTCCACCATTGCTTTCTGGATGTTAGTGTTGTTGTCTTCTGCAGACTTCAACCGCTTGCGTGGCGGCTCGCCATCTGTAGCATCTGCAACAGGGTGCTATCATTGAGAATGTAGGCTGCATGCATCTCCTCTTCCAAACAAGAATGGGGCCATTGTATATTGTAGGGGAATTGAAGAAAGACACAAAGATGGCGCCACATCGGCACCTTGTGCA